TCAAAGTGACCTCTTTACTTTCCAACATTTTAAAGAGGTCTTGTGCAGCAGATTTACCCAATACAATATGACATTTGATCTCCTGACTGCTGCTTCCATGAGCATTGATTGTGCCCCAAGCAAGATGAAATCGTTGATAACTTCATCTTTTCTTCATTTATCATAATGATACCTATTGGTTCAATTGTGAGGATTTGGGTCTTCCTTACATTGAGGTGTAATCCACACTGAAGGCTTTAGTCTTTGATCTTCATCAGCAAGTGCTGCAAGTCCTCACTTTCAGCAAGGTTATGCCATCTGCATGTCACCGGTTGTTAATAAGAAGTCTTCCTCCAGCCTTGATATTGTCCAGCTTCTCTGATGATGTGCTCAGCATACAGATTGAACAAGTGTGGTGAGAGGATACATCCCTGATGCACACCTTTCCTGATTTGAAATCATGCAGTTATTCCCTTGTTCTATTCACACAACTGCCTCTTGATCCAAGTACTGGTTCCACATGAGCACAGTGAAGTGTTTTGGAATTCCTATTCTTCTCGAGGCTATCCATTGTTTATTGGTATCCACACAGTCAAATGCCTTTGCATAGTCAATTTCTACTTGCATAAAGCACAAGTAAACATCTTTCTGGTATTCTCTGCTCTGAGCCACGATCCATCTGACATCAGCAATGTTTCATGTCCTCTTCTGAATCCTGCCGGAATCTCCGGCAGCACTCTTGTCAATGTACTGCAACTGTTGTCAGCAAGATTTTACTTGTATGTGCTATGAATGATATTATTCTATAATTTTCACACTCTGGGTCACTTTCCTTTTAAAATAAAAACTTTTTTTCAATCATTTTTGGGCTTTTATAGCTCTTATCACAATCCATACATATACCCATTATATCGAGCACATTTGCACATATGTTGCCATCATTTTCAAAACATTTCTTTCTACTTGAGCCCTTGGTATCAGTTCACTTTACTCTTCCCCCACCCTCCCTCATGAACCCCTGATGATTTATAAATTATTTTTTCATGTCTTTTGTCAACTGCTGTTTCCCTTCACCCACTTTTCTGTTGTACATCCCCCTGGGAGGGGGTTGGGTCACCTTTCTATGGAATGAATACAAATATGGTTCTCTTCCAGTCAGTTGGCCAAGTGGCTGTCTTCCATATTTCCTAGCCTAGACAAATTAGTGCTTCTAGTACTTCACCAGCTTGTTGGAATATTTATTTCAATTGGTATTCCATAATTTCTTGTAGCCTTGTTTTTGGCTAATGCTTTCAGTGCACTTTGAACTTCTTCCTTTAGTACCATTGGCTCTTGCTCATATGCTGTCTCTTGAAATGGTTGAATGTTGGCTAGCTCCTTTTGGTACAGTTACTCTGTGTATTCTTGCCATCTTCAAAATTGATCAATTAGATTTTATCAAAAGGGAGAAGTTCTTTTTAAAAGACACTCTTAAGAAAATGGGTAGTGGAAACTGAACTAAACCAGTTACTTTCATGTTGATTCAACTGCTACCAATCCGTGTGGTAGAGTAGAACTGTGCTCCAGGTTTTCAATGGCAGGTTGTACAGAAGTAGAATACACTTAAACCATCCTCCATCCAGTTAGAGGTCAAGTGTAATGACTATTTGCACCAGCCTGGGGCTTCAAGGCAAGAAAATACCAAAAGAAAATGTTCACCTGACATATATCTCATAAAAAACATTTCAATAATAAGCTCACAAAGGAACATGTATAAATGAACAATATATATATTGGAAGTGTTCATAGTTTTGTTAGTCACTGGGAAATTCACATAAATCACAATGAAACTCACCCACTAAAATGGATACAATTTAAAAGATAAGCCATGGTGAAAAAAAGATTAGCCATGCTAAGTATTGACGAGGATATGATACACCTGGGACTCTCATACATCGGCCATGGTAATGTAAACTGCTACCACCACTTTGGAAAATGTTTGGTAGTCTTTTTATTTAAAAAAATTTTTTAATGGGTGGGGAGGGAGGGGATAAAATGAGGAGCTGATATCAAGGGCTCAAATAGAAAAATGTATTGAGAATGATGATGGCAACAAACGTGCTTGACACAATGGATGTATGTATGGATTGTGATCAGAGTTGTATGAGCCCCCAATAAAATGATTTTTTTAATTAGAAAAAGAACATTCTGAAATTGATTGTGGTGATGATTACACAACTCTTTATTATGATTGAACTATTGAGTTGTATGATATGCGAATTATATATCAATAAAAGTATTTTAAAAAACAGTTTAAAAAGACTAGCTACCAACATTGACCCAGCAATTCTATATACTTATTCAAAAGAAATGGAGACAAATTCTCAAAATGACTTGCACAAGACTTGTCCGGAGCAGCTTGTTCACTGTGCCTCAAGCTGAAGACAACCTAAATGTCCATCAGCAGGAGAAGGAATGTGCGTATCGGGGATTCATACGGTGAATCCCACTCAACAACTAAAGGGACAAACTACCCGATAGAAGCCGCACTCTCAATAAATGAATAATTCTTTAAGGGTCAGCTCAAAGCTGGTTCCTCTGCAGCATAGGCTGATGATGTACCAAAGAGCCAGCTTTTCCACACTGGTGTGCCACTCCATCATCTCCAGCGTCAACACTCGCATGGGTAGGTTTGGGATTCATAGCAGCATCTCACAGAACTCCCAAACCATACTTAAAGTGGCTCATTAGGGAAGTAATCACTCAGGACCTGGATCAACTTGGAAGTGATAGGAACAACTCGGGATGGAATTCCTTGATCTTCTCAGCTTTTGCCACTGTGGGCCTTCTTGTGCAGCTCTGTGGATCAGCAAGGCCTACCATAGCCTTCTGATAGGGGACTCTACTTCACACTGCTACCCTTCTTCCTGTTGCTGTAATGCCATCTAAAGCTCCTCTGTCTCCGTGTCTCACCTTCAACCAAGTGACAGGGCAGAACGGACCAGTCCTCTCTCGGGAGTTCTTTTAGTTCACTGCCCACAAGTGTTCTGTGTGCCTTATTCACATTAGCAGCAAGCTAGCCAGTCCGTTTGGTGAGTCACAAGCACCTCATTTGCATATCCCACCCAAGACTGTGGCTCAAACCAAACTCCCTGCCACCTATCAAATCCAACTCAAGAGTATCCCAATTGGACAGAGTAGAATTGTCCCCCTTGGATTTCTGAGGCTGTAAATTTTTATGGGAGCAGAAAACCTCATCTTTTGTCTTCAAAGTGGCTAATGGGTTTGAACTGCTGATCTTGGGATAAGCAGCCCAACCTCTAACCTACACCACAGCTTGTAAGACTGACTCACTCACTATGTTCGTGTTGATACTGACTCATAGCAACCTTATAGGACAGAACAGAACTGCCCCATGAGTGTCAGAGACTGTAACTGTTTACTGTGACTAGATGAGCCATATTAAGTCATTAACTGCATCACAATCAGTAACTCACATAGATATTATACTCAGTGAAGAAAGCCAGACATGAAAAGTACATACAAATGAGTATTACCAAAGCAAACCCAAACTCACGCCGATGCTGACCCTATAGGACAGGCTAGAATGATCACTGTGAGGTTCTGAGACTGTAACTATTAATGGGAGTAGAAAGCCGTGTCTTTCTCCTTAGGTGCGGCTGGTGGTTTTGAACTGCTGACCTTGAGGTTAGCAACACAACACACAACCACTACACCATCAAAGCTCCCATATGAGTTTAATTCTGTTTTTAATTCCTGTGATAGGCAAAACTATTCATCTAAGGTGAAAATAACCAAAAGACAGTTTGCTTCTGAGGGGGAGAGAATTGACTGAAAAAGTATATGAGGAAACTGAGGAGATGGAAATGTTCTGGATCATTATTGGGCTATGGATACTAAGATGCATCTGTTTGTCAAAACAGTGTGATTCAGATGTTTGTGTTTCAGAGGAATTTGAGTATTAAAATAATTATGATTGTTTAATAATAGAGTGTTGTGGTCACTGATGCAAGCATAACCATGCTGACTGTGTGTACTTGGAAGGTGGGTATGGTCATTGATTGCCTTTGTACAACATAGTGCCATCCTAGGGAACATTTAAATTGTCGAGTACTTGACAATTTGGAAAATATTACAGTGACCATATTTATACATGTATAAGTAAACTTTTTGAAATAGTTTTACGATGGATTCTTAGAAGCTCTGAGTATATGAACATTTCTAAACCTTTTGACTTAATTGGCTTATACTAATTTGTACTCCCATCAATGGAGTCTGGGAATACATGTGAGAAACCATTATAACTCACTTTTTTCCCTTCTTTTTTTTCCCAACCGCGTATAAAATTATTATTCTAACAACACGTATATTGTTGTAAGATTCTAGCAGCCAAGGCATTGGCTCGTTGATTCTACCTATCAGAAATGGACCCTGAAGCTTTGTTTTTCGTTATGGTTGTTTTTATTAATAGTAGCCTGTACAGGTTGTCTGTGAATTAAGAGAGATTTGAGTTGATGATGAACCATACTTTTCATATTGTTTTTGTACACCTTATCATTACGATGTGCACTGCATACAGAGTTGTAACCAATTTGCAGATGTTATCATTGTCAGATGTTTACTCACAGATTGAAGATTACATTTATGGAGACACTGATAATAAAAGGCAATGATAAAAACTTAAAAGCTGGGGAGGATATTTTACTTACATCAGAACTGACAAAAGTTATTGGATCAGAAAATCAGGACAGACAGGAGAAAGGGTCATCCGTGGGCCTGGTCGGGGCCTTTGACTTCATTCGTGGCTAGGCGTGTTTTGTAACCTGCTGACCTTCTGAAGGAGACGCTGTCTTACTGCCCTTGAACACCCAGGACATGGTTAAGGGCTTATTGATAATGATAAATAGGTGCTTGTTAATTATCAACATTATCATCATCCTGGGGGTTTTGCTAATCACACTTAGAAGCAAACTTCCTCCAATGTCAGATTATTCCAAATTCTGGTTCTTTGGTTTCCCCAGGTTCACAGCACCTCAGGCAGAACTCTACGAAGCTGTTCTAGAGATCCAGAGAGCTTGTCTGACCCTCTGCTCCCCTGGCTCAAGCTTGGAGAACGTCTACAGCCTGATGCTGACGTTGATAGGACAGAAACTGAAAGAGCTGGGGGTCACAAGGAATAGCAGTGGAACCGATGCCTTCAAGGTACTTCGCTTCTTTTGACCCATTTTCAGCAACACTTGACATCCTCCTTGGGGTCTACCCTCTGTCAAGCTCAAAAGACTTAGAACACGTCCAGGTGGCTCTCCATCGCACAGAGACTGAGATTCAGAGCTCACTCAGAAGGGAATTGGATTTAATGATTTATATTTTGTTGATTCCAACTCCTGGCATCTCCATGTGGTCAGTACCGTCAGTCACCAGATTATGAACAAGTTCTCTCCTACGTCTGTCTTCAAGTCACATTTATTCATAAGTCATAACACTACTATATAGAAAACATACCTTTCTAGGCATCAAAATAAACACTTCACCTTCAAATGGTCGTCATAATGAGCTGGTGCATGTCCAAAAGTAGCAAGCACCCTGTGTTATTCCGAAACACTGTACGTGTCACACAGTTTTTACTAGAGTGGGTGTGGAGGCTTTCACAGCCCAGGGACCGCCTGGGCACCACTCTGCTCCATGGAGTTCTCAGTGGCTGCAGTTTCAAAAGTAGATTGCCAGGCCTTTCTTCAAGGTGGGTGGATTCAAGCCTCCAACCTTTCAGTTAGGCAGCCAAGTGCGCTAACATTTTGTACCCCCAGGGACTCCAAAGCCAAGCTGCCTACATGGATTCAAACAAAGGCAGTCAGTACTTCTTTCTCCCAGAAGATGGCAGCACATTCTAGCTCACGGCTTGAAGCATAACTAGCTCAGAAGTCAGAAAACAAAGTGAAGTCTGGTGCAGACAGGGTGGACAGACAGACACAAGGAGCCGAGGTTCCCTCACAGCCCTTCTGTGGTGGTTCTGACCAGGGAGAGGCTTGCCTGTTGCCCCAGGGTGGTTGCTGGAACAATGCCTTCAGACCACGTCTGCACTCACATTGTCAGTGGTGCTCAGTGAAAATGGAGAGCCTCACCTGTAAGGAAGGATGCTGGGTGCTGAAGCCATGCAGACCACGTGTAGCTCCCCTCCAAGTGGGGCCTCTCTCAATCGAAAAGAAGCTGCAACTGTCCTCCCACCGAGGCTGACACGTCTGACAGAAACGCCCATGCTGGTAGATGCCCAGTGATTACCGTTAGGTCATGTCTCCTGCCCACTCCACACACAGCTGTGAGACACTTCTGGTCTCCAGAGGGGTGTGAACAGTGCAAAGGGCACAATTCTACTAGAGTCACCCACCCCCTCCCCCAAAGAAAAGAGAGCTTCTCAGCTGCCTTGGCTGTAATGGAGTTGCCCCAGTCAGCCCCACGGATACAGTAACCAGGGAGTGGAAGCACAGGTTGGTTAGAATGCCATGACAGAGTCACATCCCAGAGAGGGCAGTTTATCAGGTGTCTGAAGCATTCATCCAAGAAAGAGTTAAACCGAAATGGCAGAAAGGGGGGTGTGGGGGGAAGTGTTGGTATGTGTCTCGCTGGCTTAGGCATGCCCAGCGGTCACTGGTTTAGTAACTGGCAATTGTTTCCAGGCTGCACGAAAATACTGCCCTCACCACGTTGGCCATTACCTTGGGATGGATGTCCACGACACGCCAGACATACCCCGCTCCCTGCCCCTGCAGCCCGGCATGGTCATCACAGTCGAGCCCGGTAAGTGAAGTGCTGGCAGCCTGTGACCCCTGGTGACTCAGAATAATAGTGGGGGCTACAAAGGCAGATGTGGCTGTGCTGGACCTGCCCCAGTATAATTCAGCTACGGGAAACAGGAAAAGGAGCCTCATCGGTGTAGGAGGGAGCCTCACTTATTTTAGATTTGTCTCTAGCTTTCTCATTTAACATCACACAATTTGTTTAATTTGACTTCTCCTATCAACAACAGATGGGGAGTCCTTTCTATAAGTAGATATTAAGAAAGAAATATTTTTTTAAGCCTGCCTCTGCCAGGACCAATTTGTGTACAAGTCTCCCACTTAATAGTGGCTCGGGCTCTGCAAGCTTTCGTGCAGGGAGACAACTCGGGCCACCGCTGCAGATTGCGCAGAGCTGCCCCACACTATCCCACTGCGTGATGTCCGGTGCCTTTCTCTCTCTCTTTTTTTTTTTTTTTTTAGGGAAAAGAAAGGCTTTATTTAGACAAACAGATGCTGTTCATTTCTGTGTTTCTGGACATCAACCAAGAGTTGGTTCTGGTTAAAGGTAGCTGTCCTTCCTCTCTTCTCCACGAACTCTGCCTCCTCCCCTCTGGTCTCAAGACTGGGGCCGTGGAAACTGGAAGTCCCCAAAAGCTTCCTTTGGCGCCTTTCTCATACCAGCCTCGAAGAGTGCTGGGGCCTGGGCAGGATTCTGAAGGTAAATGGTGGCCACCATGGAGTGTGAAGATTGATGTTACAGAACTTGCTTTTAAACATGGAGGCTCTTTCTGTCATGAACGTGGATCTCAAATGTGGGCTCCAGTGTTGTAGTCTCTGAGTTCTAGACGTCAGACACGGAGGCCGTCGTTCTTGTCCCCATTGGAGCCCAGTCACGCGTGCGTTGCTCTCTGTGGTCTGCGCAGCTCATCGGGTCTAGCAGGTACTTGGGTGTTTCCTTAGGCTTTGACCAGACCTTCCTTGGCTGGTCCTTGAGTCACAGAGCAGCATCCATGAGTGTATACAGGGAAGCTTACCGGTTGTTTCATAAGAAAAGACTGCGTATCCCCCGAGAAGAAGTTATTTCAAAGGATGGCACTGAATCCGCAGCTCCGGGAGAAGGATATATCTGACCAGAGCACACAGGAGCAGATGACGGGGGAGGAGGAGAGACTGGAGCACATCCTGGCCCACCAGGCCTTGAGGACGATGAACCCAAATA